TATTTTAAGACAGGGTGAGGAAGACATCATGGAAAGAAAAACGTCCCCTATCCATTGCCTCGTGGGGGTCTGCAGGAGGCTCTCGACTGGCAGAGCATTTTGTGGCACTGGTATTTCTGCAGCCTTCATATGACAGCACAGCACACGGACCAGCTCTCCCTGCCTGTGCACCTTATGCCCCAGTGCCTAAGAAAAACATCAGAGGGAGCTGGCTCCATGGTTGGCATCGGATCCATCGTCTCATAGGATGTACTCAGAGAAGAGAAGAGAAAAACTGTCCAAAAGAAAAGTGAACCAGGCTCTTTCCACCAGCCCAAGCTCAGACTTTCCACAGCTGCCTCCCTATGTTACACATGTTTCTTCACAGACAGTCTCTATTGCTGAGGACTTGTGGGTGCTCTCTGCTTCAGGGCTGTCCTCCGTGGCCCTTGGCTGCCTCCTGAGCCGAGAAAGAGCCATCCTCAGGGAAGAATAGAGCTCTTTGCTGCGCAGGGCATAAATAATGGGGTTCACCATGGAATTCAGCAGGCAGAGGGTGCTGCAGAAGGCAAATACCTTCCGAAGCGGATCGCTCAGCTTCCCAAAAACGCTGTAGACCATGAGAAGCAGGGCGGGAGACCAGCACACCATGAGGACGGTGAGTACCATCACGAGCGTCTTGGCCAGCATGACGTCCATCCTCATCCTGGCGCTTTGCTTCCCGCCCTGCGCTTGGTGCTTCCCCATGTAAGCCACGTGCTGCCGGGCCCTGCGCAGCACGTGCGCGTAGGCGCACACGATCGACGCCAGCAGCGCCACGACGAGGAAGATCCAGCTCGACAAATAGTTGTTGTCCACAAAGGGGAAGAGCTCGGAGCAGGCCGAGTTGAGCGTGCAGCAGTTCCAGCCCAGCAGGGGCAGGGAGGAAACGGTCACACATGTCCCCCAGAGCACGCCCAGGGCTACCCACGCTCTCCTCCTTGTCACCAGAGACTTGTATTCGGAGGGGCGGCTGATGGAGATGTAACGGTCCAGGGCTGTCAGCAACAAACTGCTCAGGGAGGCTGTAAAGGAGGGGTTGACGGAACAATTCTTTAGAGGAGTCAGTTTTATTAAAGACATGGAAGTTAACAAAACTGGAGACGAAGATGATACTGGCCAGGATGTCAGCCAAGGCGAGGCTGCTGATAAAGAGGTAGGAAGGCTTTTTGCGAATTGTGGGGGAAGAGAAGATCAGATACAGCACCAAAGAGTTCTCCAGAATGCAGAGTGTCCCAAAGAGGCAGCACAAGGTGGCAATGCTGATTTTCTGCGCCTGCGTGCTGAGCACCATGAAGCACTCCAGGGGCATGGCGTCCGTGCCGCACTGGGACGTGTTTTCTTGTGCCTTACATATATCCATAGTGATTAGCTGGGGCCAGGAGCTTGCAGAGAGCCTTTCTTCTTCCTTTTGCATTTCTTTTTTCAGATGATCTGAAAAAGAACAAGGGGAGGGGAAGAATGACACTTGCTGGAGCACAAAGAGTAGTAAATTCAACCAGCTCAGAGACTCCTCTCCCCTTAGAGGAGGACATGCAGAATAAAAAGAACCTGGTGAGACCTGCTCTGAGGTCCTCATTCCAAACACTGGAGCCGGTTTTCACCCTTTTTCAGCAGAGATCCAGGGTTTCTCCCGGTTTAGCAGTGTCTGTCCCTCCCGGCTGTGGGTCCAGCCCGTGTCTCTCGGGCTGTTTTCTCACCACGAGAGGGAAGCAGTGACGCTCACAACCACACGACTCCTGCTCCAGCTGTTCGTGGCCTCCAAGATTCCCGGCTCCCAGCCGGAGCAGACCCGGAGGCAGGAGGCTCTTGCGGATGCTCTTGCTGACCCGGTGCTGTGGCTGGCAACCGGCCCTGCAGAGCGACTGCTCTGAGTGATGCCGTTCCAGGGGTCAGGAAAGTGGCTGGGTTGGAGCAGGAGCAGGGATATTGCCCTGCTGTAGACTCAGCGTGGCTCCCCTGGGGACGCTGAGTGCATTCTGAAGCATTTACTCTTCACCAAAGCGTGTTTAAATATACAAAATGACAGGGCTTTTACATTTAAGCTTGCCCATTAGAGTTTTATAAACCTTGGCCACATTAAAGTTGCATTGCTCTCCCCATAATCCCTGTGTCAAAGGTGAATTATAAATGCTTCCCATTTTCTCTCCAGTTGATTTCACTCCTGTTCCTCAGCAGGCCACAGGAATAAAAGCCTTTAGATGTGTTTTACTGTCACACACCCTGCAAAACAAGAAGGAGAAGAACTTGGCTGCCATCTCCGTCCTGAAACGGGGCCACGCAGAGCAGTTGCTGCTGGAACGACCTGCCAGGCAGCGCTGGGGTGACTGAAATGGGGAGGCACCGTCGTCTGGAAGCGTTTGCACATGGCTGTGTTCCTGCTCGCGGCTCCGAATGGAAACGGTGTCTAAGCCAGGTCCATGTAGGGACCAGCACACAGGAGAAAACGCCTGCAGCAAGATCAGGACGTCGCGGAGGGAAGCGCCAGCCGAGCCGCGCTGCCCCGCCCTGCCCTTCCCGTCCCCAGCGGTTATTTCTGTGGCAGCAGCGTTTCGCCTGCTCTCCGTGTGGTCGCGTTTGCCTTCCGCATCAGATAACAGCCGTGCCGGGTCCCCCGGCTCCTCCGCACGCAGCGTGTGGGGGAACCGAACGCACCAGGGTTTTGTTGACGGGGAGCAGAGCCTGTCTTGGGATCACCAGAGCAAGCACGGGATCAGAGTGCCTAAAAGTTGTGGTCTAGAATGTATATAAGAATGCAGGTACAACGTACAGACAGACACGGGCATGACAGGAGCTAGATCACCTGAACCTAGGAAGCCTCGTGCATGCCCAGGCTTGGGCTTTGTGCGTGCTTTTAGCAGAGATCTGGGAGAAGGAAATGCCTGTTTTTCCTTGGTTAGATGTTGAGCTCTTTGGTGCATTCTGTGACAGCCACGCCATAGATTCTTTTCTACTTTTATGCAACTTAATGCATTTAAAGTCATGACATTGGTAAGCTTGTCATTTGGATGCTGCTTTTAACTCTCTTCTGCCTTAACTATACTTGCGCTTTAAACTAACTGCATTTTCCCGAGGGCTGAGCTGCGTTTTGTCGCCTCATGTTCATGCCAGGTAAGAAACACCCCTGGCAGCACCTTCCCTTCCCCCAGCACACACCAGGCCTCTCCCGCCCCTCAGCTGCCTTTCAAAAGGGGAAATGTCCCGACATCGTGAGCCACAGGCTGCTCCGACAGCTCCCGAATGTGCCGGGAGCGAAGCGAGCCCCGAGCGAGAGCCCTGGCGTGCGGGGCCGGCTGCTGCTGCGCTGGGGCTGTAGCCAACTGTCTTGTGGTCTGCGTGTTTCCTGAAGCTCAGCAAAGACAGCAGCTGTCCACAATAACAGTCAACAGTGACCAACTTCCTAGAAACCTCTGTCCAGGTATTTTATACCCATTTTTGCCACTTCTCGACTCCACCGACCCGACTCCCGCTGCTGTTTGTCTTCAGGCCTCGCAAGGGGATTGGGACGATGCTGGCCATAGTTGCAAAATCTCCCTCAATGTTGAGATGCAGCCGAGGAGCCTGCAGAGGGGAGCCCGAGCCCCACGCCCGGCTCTGCAGAGCATCTCCTTGCTCCACGTCGGGGTTTGACCATCCAGGGCGTTTGGCACATGCTGCACCAGGGGCTGTTCAGCCCTGCGCTGTGTTTCCCCTTGGCTCTGGACTGTTGCCACAAGCCTCTGTCCGGTTACCTCACGCCCTGGCGTGGGGCAATCTCACAGCATCAGGGTATTGCGTTTGAATCTCAGCGCTCATTTCCTGCAGCTCGGCATGGAAACATTGCAAGTGCAGCTCTAATGACTAACTGCTGTCATTAAAGCTGACAGCAGCCCACTCTGGAGAGGTGGATTGTGCAGACAGATGGACTTGGGCCTCTCAGAGCTCACCAGGGACCAGCAGGGCAGCAACTGCCTCCTGGGGTATCCAAAGTTCAGCAGCCATCACCATCCATGTCGAGGCATCTCTTGCTTAAGCAGGCTCCAGCATCAATTTGGTGTGTGTTGATTGCAGCCAGCATTCCCGGGATCATCTCAAATTCTCGGTATCTGCGTTTATGCAGCATCCCAGGAGCACACTTGGCAGCCTGGAAGTTGTACTGAATGCTTGGCAAGAGATTGAAAATCAGCAAAATGCTATTGCTCGTGTTATGTTGCTCAGGGAGAGGGTTTGGTTATAATGGCAAAATAACTCTTGTCCTGACTGCTCTGGTATAGCTCTCTCCATTAAGCTGACATAACTCAGATAAGCCCTGAGGTTCAAAATAATGTGTTGGACTCGTAGCAACCGGCCAGGCCAGGCCAGGCCTTCCCTTCCCACATCTGCTGTGTCTCAGGCTGAATGACAAGGACAGATCTCTGCGGTGTTGACTGAGCTCTCCCAAATCCTTGTCCCGGCTGCCAGCTGGACCGCCAGGACAGCAAAACATCTCCCAGAATGGGAATATTCCACCAAAGTGCAACAGTGGAGACCCCAGCTCTTGCAGCGCTCAAAACTAGAGGGGAGAGAGCTCCAAACAGTGCCAGACCCTGGAGCAAACGGAGGCAACGCACTAAATGAACCGAACTAAATGAGCCCTGTTGGCAGTAGCAAAATGCAGCCAAGGCATGTGGAGATGTGGTAGATTTCTGCTACCACGTTACTGATGGCAAAGGCAGCCAGCAGAGAAATCTGCCACAAATTAGATCTGATTGCGAGCCCACTCACGCCAGCCCAATGACACCACCAGCTTCAGTGGAAATTAAACGTGCAAGTGAAAAAGGCCTTTTCTATATCAGTGCACTGGTGAGATTGATTCCAGCTGTCAGACGAGCACTGCACTGCACAAAGCAGCATCGTTTCTGATGACTTCTTCAATGAGAGAGACCCTTCAGAATCTCTGTGCCTCATAAGTTAACATACCGGTTACTTAGATAATGGAAAATTGAATTATTTTTACTGCAATCAGTCACTGCAAAGTTCATATAGCACTTGGAAAGTGCTGCGCTTGAATATTTCATCACAAGAATTTCTGACAGCTTCAATCTTTGCAGAAAAATAAAATGTCTTAAATGATCACTTAATATGAACAAATGACACGATTTACACAAAAAAAGTCAATAATGCTTTAACCTTTCACTTGCTAGTATGCTGAAAAAGCATAATGTCTTATTTTATACAGATTTTATTTTGTTTACGATTCCTTGTTTTACTTGCAAGAGAAGTTTTGGCATTATTGTGGAAATAGCTGATCATGCCAGCTTGTCCCTCTGACCATACTGAAACATGCTGTGTGTTGTAATCCTTTTTATGCTAAAGATCGTCTGGTACAAATGCCACAGGAAAGATAATTTGCTTTATTTCTTTTCGTTCTGTCCACATGCTACTGCTCGGAATGACAGTAGTCCAAACACACGAGCGTGGAGTATGGAGCAGTGATGCCAATATCAATATGGGTATGAAGAGCTTCTGGCATCATCCTGAAACCAACACACAGAGCCACAATAAACATCCCTCAGTGCAGAAAGCTCAGCCTGAGAGCCCAATATCACACTCCTCCTTGCTAGACATTTGGAAATAACTCTAACATGCCCAACATTAATATTCCCTGGAACCAGATACAAAGAGTCTGCAGTGTGCTTTTAAAACACTTACCTTCTGCGTTCTCATCAGGAAAATATTCATCCTGAAAGAAAAAACAGTTTCTTACCCTTGTTAACTTTGTGTTGCAGAATAGCCTGAACGCCTGTGACCAGCCCCGGCGCGGAGGGCTCCGCTGCGACGCGCCTGCCTGGAGGAAGATCCCTGCCTGCAGCAGGTACCGGCGCTGCGGGAAATTCAGCGCTCGGCGCCTCTCACTCGAGCCTCGAGTTGGGGGTGCCTGGGGGCTTCCCATGGCTGCAGCTCTCAGGACATGTTGTACAGCTGCGTGCGGCGCCTGCTTCCCTCTTCTCTCTTACAGCAGCGCTTCTGGTTTCCTCTGGGTTTCTTGTACCATTCCGTGTTATTCCCTTGGGCTGAAAATCCATCAGTTTGAATCCTTCCTCCGGTTTCTTGCTCTGCCTCACGTTCTTTTGGTGAATGTGTGTCAGGTTTTCTTTCCTTCCCCACTTCCCCTCTGGGTCTTGTGTTCTGCTTCTGGCTGCTAGTGCCACATCTCACAGTCTCCCGAGCCCTGCGCCTTGCCCCAATCATTTGCTCAGTCTCTTTGATTTCTCCATGTACCCGGGATGCTTTAGGCAAGACACATTCAGGGGCTTTTTCTGAGCTCTGTGGGGACATGGAAGAGGAGAGGGAAGGAAGAGAGCTAAGGAGCAGAGAGAGGAAAACCCTGAGATGCCTGTTTGT